ATCTTGTCCCGTGTGTCCACATTTCATCCAAGCCCGGTTTGGACTCACTGCAGCTAAAGCGTGAGATGGAAAAGATGTTTCTAGAAAGACACTCTATTCCCTTCATCCCAGACCATCTTGGTTTCAAAGTGGCTCCTTGCCTAAGTTAGAGGGTAGCCCTGGCTGCTTGGGTACTTGCCTGGCTGCAGTGCAGCAGCTTTCAGGTCAGTAGCACAGGAAGAGCATCACAGGGAGGAGACAGAGTGAGGAGGTGGAAAAGGTGAAAAGAAATGAAAGAACAATCAGGCAGTTGTAGAAATAAAACAAGCTTTGCCACTAAGTTTCCTGGACAAATCTGGTTGGCTTTAAACTATCACCCCATATTTTTCCAAGTCACTGACTAACTTCTGAGTCTTGGTGTTTGACATTCCCTCTGAGTCACCACAGAACTTTGTGCCCATCTGTTCATGCATTCATTCTCCTGATCTATTGCCTCTGCAACAGCACCAGAACAGCTCTACAATTTATTACAGTGCCTTTTTGGATCTCCACACTCCATCACAATTTTTTTCATTCTTGGGAAAAATACAAGAAAACCAAACCCAAATCCAGATTTCTCAGCTCTTCCTTCCTTAGTGGTGTCTGCTGTCTGGATTTACAGAGTGTTTTAAATTAGTGATCACAGTCTCCTGATGTCAGGACAAACTATCTGATGCTAGTCAATTATTTGCCACATTTACAAGGAGCCTTTGTGGCCACAGACAGATCTATTTATTTCATAACATTTTCCTTCCAAACTGTTCCCATTTTCTACAGATCTTTCTCCATCTTTAATTAATTTTATTTTTTTCTTTCAGTTTCATATTAGTACGACATGGTTGGGTCATTATTCTTCTGTGCCACCTTCATTTTTGTTTCCCACTGCAAATGAAGTAAAACAAATGGACCCAAAAACTAATGTAGAAAATGAAAGTTTATTTTTGCTTTTTAAATCATGCGTATTTCTTTTCTGATATTCATGACAACGAACAAGAGACTTAATCTGAGACCCATTTAAACTTGTTTCAATATTTCCATTGAGAAACTTCTGAAAAAAAAAATATAATAAACCGTCTGCTTCCCTCAGGAGAATTCTAAAAGAAAATAAGTAATTGTTTATAATTTCTCTTTCATCAGAAATCAGTCTAGTTATGCTACTCTTTCTTGAATTTTATTTCAAAAAGTTGAATGAAATTCTGTATGTGCAATGGACTGTCCATTTATCCCACATATACAAATTAATGACAAATTTTCACATAGTTCTGGTAGTTGTCATTATTCTGTGAAAATTTATATATATATATATTTATATATATTAATATATATATATATTTATATATATATTAACTTCCTATTTTTATCTTAAATTCTGCTGTTTCATTATCTGAAAGATTCATCTGTGTGACTCTTTAGAGAGACCAAAGACTGTTTATTCGCCAGAAATATTTGAGATTAACAACTCTGCAATAGATGGGAGCAGTGCTGAGGGCTGTAAGGATTTACTCCAAGCAGCAGTGCAGTCTGACACTTTTCAGTTGTGTTTACTGCCATCAGAGCAGTATCCAGATCTCACACACAGTTTTCATTAAGGCTGATGGGAGATGTTTCAGTGGAGACAGCCATGAGGGCACGTTTACCCCAATGTGTTGGACACATGCACAGCCCTGGCAGACACTGTCACGAAATCTCACCAGGCTGTCTTTGAAGGGCCATGCAAACGAGTACATCTTTATAGACAGAGAATTTGCTTGATTTTGTCTTGGCTAAAAACCTGGTCCTCGGGTTGCTACTAGTGGCACACTTTTCTTCAAAACAGCTCATTTTTTGGGTTTTTTTCAGTGGTGTTGATAATGCTGGAAAAAAGAGACAGAGACAAAAGATGAAAATTAAAACAAACATCTAAAAACTTAAAAGCTAAATTTAGATTTTGATACTGTAAACATGACTCAAGGTTATAGAAAAATTTAAGATTATTCATAAGCCTATTCAAGACTTCTAGAGAGGAAGGTTTGTCTTGTATAAAATACTTGACACTTTTTTCTATAGACTCACGCTTATATAAACTTCAGAGCACACCTCTCATTTAAAAAGGTGTAGAGGAAAAATCTGTCTTTTGCATATACCTGCTAATATATTTATAGTACTCTGACATTTCATACACTAAATCTTGCTTGTGTTGAGTGTGCCCCCTTCAAGTCAGTGGAGTTTGCCCTGCATAAGTATTAACAATATGACCGTGAATTTACCTCTGTATTTATTTCCTGAAAACATGCAATTAGAGAAGGAAGAGACACTAAAGATACAGAAAATGAAAATACTTGGGACCCACTTTTTTCCCAATGGCTACATATTACATATTGAAATATGCTTGAACTATTTTACTGCTCTGCTCAGAGATGACATGCAGTGATAGTTTGCAAGGGGAGAGAAGGTAAAAGGAAAGATATGCCAAAGATATGCAGAAATAAAAACATTTCCAGGCTGGAGGTTCCTTATTTTTTTAGCATCAGTCCTAGAAAAATATGTATTTTGGCTAGCAGGTTTTTCTTCAACCTACTTTGAGGGCAGCCTTTAGTAGGATCACAAGCAGCCAAATACAAGCTGTTACAATGCTACTGATGACCCTGGTTTACATCCATGTTGAATCTGGCCTATGACTGTGCAATTAATGAAAAAATAAATTAAACAGCTTAGTCACTAAACTAAATATCATCTTAAGCCAGAAGAAGAAATTTTAGAAATCTGACATTGGGTTGAAAGACTTGAATTAGCAGCAGTTTTCCACTTTTAACAACTGGAAATAAGATGTATTTCTCAATTCTTTGAAACATAGTGGATTCCCTTACTTCATCTCATATATTGTTAATATATATAAGCCATGCTAAGTACTTAATTTTGCAATGCATATAAGAGCACAAAAGCATAATTTCCTTGTGAATTGCCAGTGTTAAAATGGTTATTTTTAACTGATTTAATGAATTTACTTAAATACACAAGCTTTTGTATGAGACAATTAACAAGCACATATTACTTTGAAAATCCAGCAATGTGTATTTTGTTCCTTAATAGGTCTTTGCAAAAAATCTCCCTCATACTTTAACCATGCCAGCTTCTACTTTCCAGCATGTGTGTACTCACTGTAGAGCAAAGCTGGGCTTTCTGTGGCAGTGCCTGGTTACTTATCTGAATACTTCAGTGAGAAATACACTACAGGGAGAAATGCAGACATTTGGGGAAATGGGTGTCTTGTTTTCCATGCCTGAGGACAAAATGTACTGTCAGGCACCAGGAGTGTTGCACTGTGCAGTGCTGGCCGAGAGCTCCTGTGCAGGTCTGTAAATGTCACAGATCATATCCAAGATCAAACCTGGTCCCAAACTGTTAAGCTGTGCTTTCACCAGCACCCTGTACTCCATTCTTTCTGTCTGGATATTCTGAGTTTTAGTAGTGATATATTTTTCCAAAAGACCAAATGAAATTTTTTATGATTTGAACTATTATAGCATTACAGAAATATGACAATTTTTAGATGATGCAGCTTTCTTAACTCTCTGCACCATGAACTCTGTATTTCTGTATTTTAACAACACAGCTAAAACTAAAAGTTTTAATCTCAAAGAAAAAGGAAAAAATAAATAAGGATACATTGAAGAGCCTTAGGTTTGCAGATGCCTAAAACTTAGTTTTGACTCTCAGTGCAGTGCCTCTGTATCTTGGATAGAGCTGCTTGGTCACTTGGTGTTTGGGTTGTAAAAGTTAAAAATTTGCCATGTGGCACTGAAGTGATATGTTTGTTGACTTGGTAGCATAAAAATAGGGTCATGTTTGAGACAGAATCACAGAATCATTAAGGTTGGAAAACACCTCCAAGACCATTGAGTCCAATCATTAACCCAGCACTGCCAAGTTCACCACTCAGACATCTCTGAGCACTACAGCTGCACATTGCTTCAACATTATCAATGCCAGTGATTGCAGCACTATCCTGGGCAGCCTATTTTAATGCCTAACCACTCTTTCAGTGAAGAAGGTTTTTCCTAATATCCAATCTAAACATTCCCAACTTGAAACCATTTCCTCTTGTCTTCTCTCTTGTTACCTGGGAAAGGAGCCCAACCACCACCTGGATACACCCTCCTCTCAGGGAATTGTAGAGAGCAACAAGGTCTCCCTTGAGCCTCCTTTTCTCTAGGCTAAACAAGCCCAGTACAAACTTGGCCCAGTTCTTCACTGATTTAGGATTTTCCTGCTATGGGTTAACTAAAGAGTGTATGACATGCAAATGCAAATTCAGTGAGTTGCCACTGGAATGATCAGCTTTCCCTGGGCAAGAATTAGGATAAATTAATAAAGGGATAAGTGATGCCCCTGTGCCATCCATACTCCCAAACCCAACAGCAAAGTATCCAATGGGTTAGCTTTTCATGCAGGGAAGAATTTTCAGCTGTTCCAGAGAAATTAAATTATGTCATAATTGTAGTTCTTGAGAAGATATGGGAAATATGGGAGGTATTTAGTGTGAGGAAAGGAGAATGAGTCAGAGATCCTTAGCTGCTGTGAATCAGTGCCCTTGCACAGGACTAACTAGATTAGCTAATTAACAACACTTGGTGTTACACTCAAGAGACCAATAATCAGAATTGATTAAGGAACAGGCAGCTTTACATTTAAAATTGGTTTTCATTTCACATAAATTTGATATAAAGGGCCACAGATCTATATAGTAATTTGGGCAAATCAGTTTAGGAGTAGCTCAGAATAAGTAACATTTTCACAATATCTCTTTTTCTTCCTTTCATTATCCAAAGTGTCTGTACACTTAACTTAAATTACATTTGTCTTTTAGACCACTGCAAAAAAGTGAAACAATTTTTCTCCCAAAAACTTTAAATTTGTAAGAGGTCTATGAAATAGACTGGTAGCCCAAATTTAGTGCCTATGAAAAAGTGCCAGTACTAGAAAAAAAATAGCTCTTCAAGTCAAAAAAGGGAAAAAAGGAGGAAAACTATTTATGGTCTTTCCAAAGCAGATATTTTCCAAAAAGTATGTCATCATAACTAAGGACAGTCTAAAATTTTAGGTCAAACTTTTGCAATTATTTGAAGTAAGAGTAATATTTTTAGTATTATTTAAAATGGTTTTCATGTTTAAGTTATTTTAAAAGCTTTTTTCCTCAATTTTCTTCATTTCCAAGCAAAATATTTTGTTATCTTGGAGCGGCACGATTTCATTGAGAGAACCTTGTAAAGGAGGATTATGATATTTCAAAAATTTCCCCAACTGTCTCCAACTTCCATTTCCTTCCCAGCCTTCTCAGTCACTTATGCTTTTTCCCTTTTTCTTATTGTTGCTAAGGTGCAGAAAATAACCCCTTGTTTTAACAAATCTGTATATTTGAATTCAGCAGAAACTCCACGTTTGGGGTGATCTTAATATCTTACTTTTAAAAAAAGGTAAAAATAATCCAGGTTAAACTATAACCATGGAAAGCACCAAAGGAAAAAACCAGAGAAATTGACAATACATGCACACACAGAGTATAGACTCAATATTGTTGTTGTCACACAGCCTTTTACTCTAATTTTTAATAGGCAATGTAAAACCTGTGCAGAGAAGCAAGCCTGTTTTGCCTGGACTGGTTTGAAGAAGGGTCCCAGCTCTGGCACCCATCAGCACAGGTTAGTGACTTCTGCAATGACCTGAAATAGATAATTTAGAAGGTTTTTTTGAGTCTCTGCACTGCTATCCATTACCCAGGCCTGTTTTAAAATAGATTTATGCACGTGTGCATTGCAAGCAGATTTCCAAATTAGATTACCCTTTTTTTCCCTCTAAGTTACTTGGAACAACTTGCCAGTAAAAAGAGTGTTTGTTAATTGCCTTAAAAAGGGTATTTCCTACTACCACCCTTCTCCTTCTGGAAAAAATATATTTAGCCAGATTTTGTCAGTGTGATACATGTTGGATCTCTCTTAAAACCTGATAACCAGATTACTTGAGAAACTGGAACTCTTCCAAGACAGCCGTTTCAAGTTTCTTGGTAAATAGTCTGTACATTGTATATATTTGCGAAATGTACATTATTTACTTTATAAAGTCTTCTGATCTTCCATAAATCTCTGCTCACAGAGTAAATTTCCAGGCACTGTTTCCCACTTCTTAGGAGTTGGCCTCTTCATCTCTGTAATGCCACACATGAAGTCACATGGAAAAGGTTCACACGGGATGTCTTTGAAGTGTAGCCCTTGGACTTCACATGGACCAGCTTTCCAAAGTGAGAAATACAAATTATGTCTGTTTATTGTCTCCATGAAAAAAAATCAGTGCTTTGTTTAAAGTCTGTTCTGAGGTGAGCACATGCTTGTCTCTGTGGTCACTGACATTTTTTCAATAATGTGAAAACAATGGTTAAAATGGTGAAATCCTATTCTTTATATGATTTGATTCTTGTATTATTTGAAGCTTGCAGGATGCATTTTTGTCATTTTTGGTGGTGGCAGCTCTGTTTTCTAAATTTTTTTGTTTGGGTTGGGTTTTTTTAATTACACTATTTGACTGGAACACTGTAAAGAGAAATGATCCTTTGCTCCTGTCGCTCTTGGTTCTCACTGAAAGCAGGCTGGTAGTTGCAGACAAACCAAGCCTGCTGTGCCTGCCTTCAGCCTGAGCAGAACAGGCAGATTGCAAACCAGCCTGTATCTGAAATCTGCCCAGCTGTGTGCAGGTAACACCAGCCTGAGACAGGAATCCCTGGACATGAAGATTTTCCTGTTGCTTTGGCTGATTTCACAGCGTAGACATGCTCACAATAGAGTCCTGTTCTGTAGTACTTGTCTCTGCAGACAAGGATCACTTTCCCACCCAAATGTCAATCCTCACCAAACTTAGGAGCTGTAATAGAATTATTACTCTTCCATCAAGAGAGCAGACATCATGATGTAGCTTGACAGTGTCTCTGTGATGGAACCAGAAGCAGAAGCCAAATCTCCCATAGAGTTCTCAACTCTTGTCACATTATGGGGTATCAAGAGAAATTTCACTGAAGTAAAAGAAATTATTTTTCTTCTAAATACCTAGAACAGGCTGAAAAATGAGGTAATGAGATCCTAAGAATTCCCACTGTTCAGCAGGTATTTGACCACTCTGTAATGTCATTTGGACTTAAAAACCGCCATCCTTTAAATGGAGTACCCCTCTTCTGGAAGAGCTGTGTTTTAAGCTTCTGATGCAAAACACCTCAAGGTTGGCATAAATTCAAAATCACACTTCGGTCCAGATCCAAATTTTGTACTGCTCCTCAGTAAGCTCAGCCAAGGACCCCTCTCCTAACATGTGTGGATATTGGGGTATTTGAAATCCAACTCCAAATTCCAACTTAAGCCACGGTCTAATGTAAACAAAGTTAATGGCTTGTCAGCATGGGGCTGTAAAACAATGTGGGTACTGTCATAATATTGATGTAAGGAAACTTGAAATATATAGCCATTTTTCTGAATATAACAGTGGCTTTTGCTCTTAGGGAAAAGTCATTAAATTAGTATGTCCAGGTTATGTAGCAGCCAGAGAAAATATACAATTGTGGCAGCCAAGAAATTACATGGAAAAGAAATTGTGCCCTGACCCATTGACCGCAGTGCCAAACAGTGACTGCCATTTAGTGTTGTATCACCTGGGTTTTATACCCACGTGTTACAGCTCACAGGCAACTGTGCCTGTGTGGAAACAGGAGAAACACATGTTTGACCTGCACCTCTCAAGGGATGGCTGAAGTATGAGCCAGGCAGAGAGTTTGAAAGAGTAAAGAAAACAAAATATAGATACTGCACTGGAATATATAATTTATTATTGGTTTGTACCAATGAAACTTGTTGGCAGCAGTATATCATTAACTGATGATGAATCAAGGTCAGCTTTAAAGACTCAGGTGGAATTTCTCAGGTGACATACTACAAACTCAAAGTGTGGTTATTGCTGTTCATCTGAAATCTCAAACAAACTTCCCTAAGGATTACCTTCTAAAACAACATAAAATAATTTGAACTGATTTAATGATTCACAACTGTTGGAAAGTAAGTGTAATTCACTTTGCAGTGATCTGTAGAAACTGTGAATACTCAATTATTTCAGCCCATCTCTGTAATAAATTATTTTAGCTTCTGAATTGATTTATGTCAGTATCCTTTCATTTTCTCAAAATTACCCAAGAGTTTATAATACTGAAGTGCCAAAAAATTATTTTATATTTAATATTCCTTTTGCACCTTATTGTGCATTTTTAATCTACAGGAATCAGTGCACAATATATTCTTAGTGTGAAATTGTGGCCAAAGAACTTTTTTCATGCACAGCAACAGCTACTCAGTGTAAAACATGTGCTTGGACACATAATAATTTTGCTGAGTTTTTGTGAGGTGTGCTCTGAGACCATGCTCTGTCTGTACTGCTATTTTGATTTATACCACTAAAAAATGTCACTATCCTTGTCTGTGTTACATTAAACTCAAAGTTATACATGATGGGATGAGTTCAGATAAAGATTTGGACTGATTCTGGGGCTTTGGAGAGATAAAGCATTAATACTTTCCAAAACTTCAGCAATGATTCGGATTTGGGTAAGGGCCCATGTCTGATTATGTTTAAATATTTTGACATGCATGGTATTCTATTTTATGAGATAGAGATATCATAAGAACTTCATTTGTCCTGTTAGTCTGCACTATGGAAACAAATGACATGCTTCACCCATATTGAAGAAATTCGGGATGAAAGATCACAGAGCAAATCATGTTAATGTATAACACATACAAGAAATATTACAATTAAGAATTTACAGATGTGACTCAGGGATAGGCACTAATTACATGAGAAGTAATGTATTTAAACCCAAGCTTCCAAATTAATCACCAAGATGACCTTCTGGCTTTCTAGGCTTGTGTGAGCAAATATTGTGGTAACGTATCACCATGGTAGAAAATTGTATTTTTAGTAAGGTTGAAAGGAGTGGTGGTAAAGGTTGAGCAGCTTTTCTCCATTTCTCAAATTTGAGGCTGGAAAGTCTATACTGACCCTATTTCTGCTGAACTGGGATTGTCTGAATTCAGGTCTTGCTCAGGGTCAGCAGCTGTGTTTCTCTCCAGATGCTTGCCCTGATGTACAGCTTGGTTTTTGTCCTGATGCTGATTCAGTCAGGTACCTAAGTGTCTAACCTGTCCTTTGATTGCAGTCAGTTTTAAAGAAAATTCATAAAACTTTAAATCCCTTGCTAAACTGTCCCATGGAGCACACTTGTTCCAAACCAAGCAAGTAGAAGTTCTACAGGGTGAGGAAAAAGAAGGATTTAGCTAAGGTTTACCAGCATGCCAGAGGACACTGTGAGCACAGTCTGACAAAATGAAAGTTGATTTCAATAATTTTCTTTTGCTTTAGGAGACTTGATACATTTTTATCTTGTTTATATATTGCCCTTTACCAGCAGATAGATGAGAACCTAGTCAGCATCTTGGACATAAATGCCATGTCTTATAACATTTGACATTTAGCTTCCTGGCAGATCACGTGAATATTGACCAAAGTGCTCAGTCTTTAAATTTAGCACTCTATCTGATTTATTTCCCTGAAGATGACCACAGAGAAAATACTAAATATGAGATGATGTTAAAAGTAACATTTTTGTTATTATGTAAACCTCAAGTTGATTTTTTTTAAATCCATTTTTATACGTATTATAAAAATTACATATTTAATCTTGACCAATATTTCATAGAATCACAGAATGGTTTGGGTTGGAAGGAACCTTAGAGATCATCCAGTTTTGGGCAGAGATGCCATCTACCAGGTCAGGTTTCTCAGGGCCCCATCCAACCTGGCCTACAGTTTACTGGAAATGTGGATTATCTCTGCATCACAGTTGGTGTTACCCATCAGAAATCACAGGAAATACCAGGCTATACTAAATCTATTTTCTTCAGCTGTGACTGCTGATTGTGTCCAATATTTGGATTCTTGAGAGGTTGCAAGAATTCCTCTCTTCTTTCTTACCCTTTCCCTGCATCCCTCCTTTCTGATATTTAGAAACTGGCTTAAATGCACAGCACAAAAGGACTGATGTAACAATTAGCCTTGAAAAAGGCATGTCCATCACCCAGAGCAACAAGGCTGAATTCTAACTCTAGCTGCTAAATTTTATTCTGCTTTTATAAATCATTAGTTTGTTTAAACATTGGTAATTGTCAGATATTCTTAAGTGTTATTAAATCTTATCACATAAAGTTAGGGCACAGAATCATGTTTTATGTACATGTCTTTAAAATTAATGAATTATGAATAAACTCCCTAATTGCACTGAAGTACAGATGGAAGCAATCTTCATGAAATTATAAATAATCACCATACTGCTCATTGCAACAAGTGGAGTTTAAGCTTGCCAAGCAGTCTTAGAAGTTTAATTAAATGTACTAAAAAAGCAATTTGATGCTTTAAAAGCCAAGCTGTTGCATGGCACTGAAGCAAATCAAAACTTCAGTTAGGTTTGCAAACCAATCTTTGTTGCTGACCTTAGAAATGCCAACATTCCCAGTTTAGAAATTTTATGCTTTGCAAGTTCAGTGCCTCAAATAAATATAAGACTTGACTTTTGGAAGTATTATTTAGGTGAAGACATGCAGATAAGCAAGAATGATTTTCAGACATTATAAATTCACATGCTAACAAGACTAGTAATTTTATATAGTATTGAGAGAAGAGACCCTCTGTACAGTCAGAAAGAGTAAGATGTGCCAGATGTCATCCGGCAAGTTTAGAGTTTATGGAGTGTAGACAAATATAAAGGAGCTTATGTTTAAGGTTGTCCCTTGACCCTTTATGACCTTCTGGATCTGTGAATCTACACTCAGAATAACTAGAGCAAGAAGAAAATTTTGGCAGAATCTTGGCTCCACGACTCTCCAGTGAACTATCAACCCTGCACAGACATGTGTAACCTGGTACTTTGCTCCTGATAGACAATTTCTTCCTTAGCGTATTCTTCAACTACAGCAGCTGAGCAATGCAAGGCAAATGTAGTGCTTGGCTTGGTAAGTAAAACTCAGATCCCCAAAGGAATTTATCTTTTATTCATTCTTGGATACTTGACTTGAAATGAAGCTGAAGTATAAATGCTGAAAAGTGCAATATGAATAAACTTTATGGCAATGCCTCTGAATCCCACACTTCTGTGGTGAATCTCTATTTGACTTCTGAGGTCTGTTTCTAGTTCAGGTTTAGCTGGAAATAGTTCTAGCTGAAAAGTTCAGATATTATTTCAGGTTTATTAGCATACATGCCTGGAGTCTTTTCACAAGACTGGATATCCTGCATGGGTTTTTCTTCTAGTCTGGAAGGGCACAAATATTTTCAGTAGGTTTTTATATATGTCCAGCAAACTTCAGAGCATCTCAGATCAGGTGTCCTAGCTTGAATCATCCAGGGAAGTGAGCTGATGCCTCTGTGTTTGCTTTGTACCTAAACCTAATAAAGACTGAGGCAAAAAGCTTCATTTCCATCTGAGCTTTTGTCTGGCTGCCTATAGCCCGTTAAAGTGCATGTAATGCACAGAAAGATGATGACTCCCACTAAATCCATCTGAGACAAGCCCTAATGTGCTGCCACTGGCCAGTAAGTAATTGAGGGGTGGCTTTTAGTGTAATAACATACCACTTAGAGCACTTGCACAGGAAGTGAGGAAACTGGTTTCTCTTCCTTCCTCAGACAGAGGGGACCAGACCCATATTTCCTCATTCCCAGGAGTGTGAATGACAGACAGAATTTATGTCAACAGGGTTAAAGGGGGAAACAGAGGCACCTCCCACCTTTCCAACGGGGAAATGGATACAAGATTTACTGTTCCCGAGAGTGAACTGGGAGAAAAGAAATAAGCTCTAACTGTGTAATATGATGGTTAGGGCTTCTTAAGAAGAACAGTCACAGGTTTTGTCCCCAGTTAAAGGTCTATTTTGTGTTTTCCAGTAAATCCTAATTAAATAAAATTAGAAGGCAAAGTTCTATGTTGTCAGTTGAGTGTCCCTATTCAGATTGTCAGTCAATCTTTCTTTTTTTTTTTGGCTTATACTAAGCAGAAAGTGTAAAAATGTTTTTTTATAATGTCTCTAACTCAGAAAAATAAAATATTCCAAATGGGGAGGCTCAGGGGAAAACTTACCACTCCCTATACTTATCTGAAAGGAGGTTGTAGCCAGGTGAGATTTGTTCTCCCAGGTTGCAAGTGCCAGGAAAAGAAAAAATTGCCTGAAGTTGCTGCAGAGAATGCTTAGATTGGATATTTGGATATTTGGAAAAGAATTTTAACTGAAGGAGTGGTCAAGCATTGGAACAGGCTGCCCAGGGATGTGGAGGAATTACCATCTCTATATTTGATCAAAAGGTGTGTGGATGTGGCACTTGGAGATGTGGTTTAATGGTGAACACAGCAGTGCTAGGTTAATGTCTGGATTTAATGATTTTTTGAGATATTTTCCAACTTTAATGAGTCTATGATTTTATATTTTTTCTTCTGAAAAAAATACTGTGTCTGGATGGCTGAGAAATTAAACATGCAGATCAATTTGTTTTCAGGGAAATTGAGGATTGTAATGTACACCTAGGACCGAATCTTTAAAACTGCAGCATGCCTTTCTAGAGGAGCATGTAGAAATGGTTACAAATTTAATTACCAAAAGTAACAGTGTCATTTGAAAAGACTGTTGATGTCTCTTGGTACCTCCCCAGTTCACTCCAAAGTCATGATCTGCATTTACAGGGGCAACCTCTGAAGCACACCTTAGGTTTTTGTGTTGCTCATTAGATCTGTAACTGGATGTCCCACATCCAGAGAGCTCTTGGATTCAGCACAAAAAATGGCAAAGCAAGAGAGTCACAATTGCATTAAAAGATCATATTTTCACATCTGCCTTGCAGGATATTTGGCAATTTCTTTTCTCTGTAGAAGGGGATACATAAAGAAAGTATAAAGTTCTTTTGATCTAAAAAAATCTCTGTGGGATTTAATAATTTATATCAGAATTTAACAGCACAGAAGAACTCTTTTTTATATACTGGAGTAATTTTGCTTTGCTTTTGTCAGATCACCCCTGCTTGAAACAGAGACTTGCTATTAATGGAACTGAACTATATTTCAATGTCTCAGATACTTTGGTGGCTTTCATTCTGCCATATTTCACTCTGGTCCCAGTTCAGCAAAGATCTTAAACACATTTCTAAATCTAATAATTTCAATGGGACTAAAGACCTTATGTAGATGTTTTATAAAAATTGTGTCAGCTTATAAACTCTTCTTTATGATACTTTTAATGAAGAGTAATATTTTGAGACAGATCCTTTTTGTTTCCTTTTCTTTAGTAACTTACTCTACTGATTGAATGTGAAGGTACAAATATGAGGGCTGGAGGAAAAAATCTTGTTATTTTTTCTGCATAGAGCCATAGTAACAGGAATGACACATATCTGACCAAACCAATAGTAGATGCCCTCATTTAAGATAGACATCTGCATTTTCTTTAGTATTGGTGGGCAGAAATACATGTGTTCACAGCTCATTTTGCTCCTCCCTAATACATATGCCTGAAACAACCCAAACTTCTGCACTCCAGAAGTGTCTGTTGCTCCTATCTGTGAAGAGGATTTTCACATAGGCATTTTTACAGCAGATATCTGAGTTTGATGAAGGAGATGGCATTCATTCCATGGGACATTTAGAGGAGAGGGGAGAAGGTCTGTCAGGCCAAGGTCCTCCACACCTCCCATCTTCTCCCTGAGGCTGGGCAGCAGCAGACATGTAGGCAAAAAGCAAGGGAATCAACTCATGTACAAAAATATCTTGGTCTAGCAAATTTTCCAGTAATCAGTGGTTTTAGAATTTCCTGACCCAGATTTCTTTCTGGCAAATCACGTTTAGTAACACCAGTTGATTTGCTCTCCATTAATTTGCTCCTTTTTACAGCCATGTGTATTTTTTACCTCCATGAAATCCTGTGGTTATGAGCTCTATAATGCAATTACATGTTGTGTGGAAAAAAATGCTCTGCTTTGGTGTATAACTTACTCCTTAATGCTTTCATTATATGTCTGCTAATCCTTGTGCTATGAGGTGAATATTCACTCTGTTCATGTTCTGCATACAGTTTATGACTTAAAGCCCTCTGTCATTCCCCCCCATCACTCATCTTTTTCCCAAGCCTAAGAATCCTAATGTATGTGCTCTTTCTTCATATGGAAAACATCCAGATCTAGGCATTAGTGATGCAAACAGGATTTTCAAAATCAGAATTTTAATGGCTTTAGTATAAAGAAAGTCAACAAAGACAGGAGAACTAGACTTCATTAGAATAAGTCCTCACCCTAACAGTGTGATATGCAATAAACCCCACGCAAATATTGAATGCTTATTAATCACTGTGGAGTCCATTATATCAAATTTTTTGTGGTTACTGTGCATGATTTTTTTTATAAGGCAAATTGAAGCTGGTTATTGTTTTAGCTATTAGAAAAACAAAATCCTTCAGAAGAAAAAAACCTGGACACACTAGGTTACTTCTTTTATCTCCATTTTTATATATGAGACCCTTCAAGCTGGAATGAAGGGCATGCTGACTCTTCATCTCTGTATTAAAAGTTACAAATCAGGCAATATCTTATGCCCATTTTGTTGTCTCCATCATTATATGGAGATTGTATTTTGACATGAATTGGTGGACTCAGTCCAATTCTTAATGGAAAGAGTCATTAACTCACAGTGACAGGACAGAACAAAGAACTGAACATGCATGAAGGTATTTCATCTCCCTTAAGATATTTTTGTGACTCTACAACCAGTGGTGTAGCCAAACTTGTGCTCTGGGTTTGTTCCTGCTATTTATTATGAGTATTAGTGCACCCCCTAGAAGCTCCCATCAAAAATGGAGTCCCATTGCAGAATAACATACTGATTTCCAACATATTTTATGCACACATCACTCAGTAAGAAGTGTGTCTTCCAAAGCAAAACAAAACAATGTGTTTTGCATGATTCACTATGCTTTGCTGCAAGAAATACAAAATAACTGAGCAAGACTGCAGTAACTCTCCAATGCTTTGTTATGGTTTTTAGCTGTGCTCAGCAGAATAAAGTGACCCTGGTTCACAACTCCCAGACTGTATTTGCAAAGGTGAAATTACACATTGAAAGGTTTCTGTAGAGGACATAACTCTGAAGGCTGACATTTTAAATCTGTAAAGTTCATACAAAGGTACAATGATGAAAAAATGAGCACCCTTTTCTCTGTGGTCTGTGACAGGTTTGAGTCACCACGATTTTGCTCTCACTGGTTGTGCTGGAGAACAATATATTCACAAATTGTCACCCACATTCACCATTTGAGTTTGTGTGGTGTTTAAAGCCCTGCACTTGCCAGCTGTATAAAGAGGGGAAGAATATTATTCCCTTCACTACGGAATTCAGGATACAGGCAGGAGCTGGAAAGAAGCAGGTTGGGGTTCAGGTGAACAGCCTGACAGGCCAGCTGTCATCCACTTCATCCACTGGCAAGAAAACATCTGTCAGGGAATGCTTTGGCTTTACTTTGGTGTTCAGTGCTTTAGCAGAGCAGTATTCTGCTGAGCTGCTCTGTCTCATATTGGAGCAATCTTCACCCATGCCTCTGCAGTCAGCAGGAGAGCAATTGCCAGCTCCATGGCCATATAAAGGCCACAGGAGTAATCTGTGACAGATTTGATGACAGCAGGGGAAATACTCCTGAGAATTGTAATTGTAAGGGCTAACTGCAGCCCCAGATAGCTTTCAGCTGATGATCAGGAATAGCCCGAGTCAATGGCTACTCAAGCTTCAAAGATAAGAACGTGCTCTGATTTAAGAGCCTATTTCTGTGGGCAAGGCTGTGAACTCTTTACTGCTGTTGAAGACATCCATCAGCCCTTTGGCATTAGCAGGATTAATTCCTGGTTAGAAGGGCAGCAATCTGGCTCAGTGACACAGACAAATTTCTGCTTGTGTGTTGTCATTTTTTTTCAAGCATGCGCAGGAAAAAAAACCTCAAACATAGGCAATGCTGGTTGCATAGAAATTCTGTCTTATAGGATCCCATCTTATAGGATGTATAAGAATGGAATATGGTTCTATGGATTTGCCTCTCCAGGATCATTGTCAGTTTATTTCATCCTGGATGCATTTCTGTGTCCTAGTGCTGTTGTCTGGTGTGGTTCCCATGTATCTGTTTGTTACAAAAAGGCATAATGAACTGGAAGAATCTGTCTATATCCTTAGGAAGGAAAATAAGTCAATTTGTAGTATAGAAAAGGCCACTTTTGTGCATGTTGCATTTCTGTCCTGATTAGTGCACAAGGATTGGCCTGATTTGTGGTACCAAGATGAGTGTGTCACAGCAAAATGAGTGTGTTCTCATGGCTAAACTTTTCACCCAGTTCAGTCTGGGAGTGTTAAGGACATCCCTTTGGTGGCAGTGTAAAAATTGATCTCTGTGTTTCATAGGCTCTTCTGGAGTTCCACCTGCAACAGGGAGATGATCAAAGTATCGAAAGTCTGGCCTGAGCTGGGAAATTCAGTAATGGAGACTCAATGATTTGTTCAGTAGAAACCAGACTGTATTCAGGTCTCCTCTGAGATTAGATGGCAATGGGTAAGAGATGACAAAACCTTGGGTTTAATTTAAATATATAGTAATTCTGTAGCTACTCTAGCCTCTTTCTCTGCAGTGCCACCAAGTCAGCAGGGAGACAGTCCTTGCTATCCATGATAAAGTCACTCAGAAAAATAGAATTCTAAACTGAAAAGTTAACATTTTCAAGTTGGTTGCTGGAACACATCCTTTCAGGTCCAAATTTTTACATCCATTCCACTCATAAGAAAACCAATATCTTTGTTGTCTGTTTGTCAGACTAGGAAGACTAAAAAAGACTTCCCACAGTAATGCCTACAATTGTGCAATTCATGGATTAAACTGCTACTGCTCTGCAATGAGCTAACAGAGGTTAGTATAATTTCAGCACATTTTCTCCAGATTTCAGAGTGGGTACTTTTGAAAGAAATATACAATTTTGCCTCTGCCTGCTATAACTAACAGCCATATTTTTTGCTTATGTATTAGAGAGTGTGATAAGGGATTGTAGTTCAGAAAAACCAAATTTTCTGTTATTTGAGTTGAAGTCCATCACTGGAAACTACAATTCATCCTGCTTATGAAGTGGCCCAGAAGGAGGCCTAAGACATACCAACCAATGTGTTACTTCCACGTGGGGATTGTGCATACTCTGTGTATGGAATATAAGAAGGAAATGCATTCACATTTTCATATGCCATAAAGTAAAGGCTGTATTACTCTATAGCATTACACAAGCATGGTGTCATGAGATGAAGCAGAAAATCTCCCAGGCCTGTTTCTTCAGCAATGCTTGTGTTTTGGTTCAGTCCCCAAGGTTTCTGCCTTATCAGATGCAGACAAAGTGAAAAGAAACAGTACCAGTGAAAACTGCTATAGATCCATACATTGCGTGATGCAGTGTGGAATGAGACTGAAATGTGTTCTTTAATAATGAATACTAAAGTCAACATTTATAATAGTAACAGGAGATACTGAGTTTTCTTTTCATTTGAAGGTCAAGAGTTAATGTCATATCTCAGCTAGGGAGCTGAGACATACAGTGCCCCATTTATTCCTACTGCAGTGTGTCAGGCAGACGCCAGCACACAATGTCAGCATCTGGCACAGCTTCATGAGGAATGAAGTTTTCACAAAGACATGATCACTTCTGTATTATAGTTTGATGATATGATTTCTTAAGTAAACTGCAACTTCTCTGACACTAAATGTTTTCTGTCTGACTGAGAACTTTGCTGTGAATGACAACATATTTTTTTTGCCTTGTATCCATTGCTCATTTTAGCTACGGAAAGGAGCAGAGTTGGAAAATGCTGTCCTTTGTAGCAGTTACTAAGGCAAGGCTCTTGTTTGTGTCCTGAACCCACCATATTCCAAGTCAATAAGGTAACAAGCCAAATCCAGTTGTTCATCTCTATACTTGTGTGCATGTGTTTATAAGATTGATATTTGACCGTGAGTTTTTGCCAAACACAGACTTATAGTGTCAACACCAGTTGGAGAAATAAGCAGGGAAGTGTGCAGGGAGCCACATGAAGACTACTGTCTGAAACACCAATCCTGGAGATAAAAACAGGACCTTAAATTAAACAATAGGCTTCTGTGACTGTCCCTCCCTTTTTGTTTTCAGTACTGTCTGCGCAACATCAGTGTTTTCATCCAGTTGTAATGGGAAATTCTGAGTATCTCAGTTTATATTAGGCCTCAGTTGACCAAAGCATCATTCTTATGCTCAGTGGTAAATGTTTACTTGCATCTTGTGCTCTTTAATATTCCCTGTTTCTTCCTTCAGATGTAGAAGTAATGGATTAACCAGAATCAGTTACCCAAAGGCTGTTACTCAAAATGCCTTTGAAACTATAAAAAAGAGGCACAGAGGCACTTCCAGGTTATTTTCTAATACCCTGATGTAAGCAAATACAGAAAGAAGACCAAATCTCCACTTATGTGTTGTAAACCACTGCTGAATTCAGCATATTCAGATGGTCGTCTGTGATTGCTAAGACACACACAAGTTTTGACACATCCTCTTCAAAGACTTGAGATACCACCAGGAGGAGGTGAAAGGGTTTGAAAATTTACTATATGTACCTAATTTAAGACTTTTCAGAACTGTCTGTTGACTGAACATGGTACAGAAGTTTGACATTAAAATCACTGAGACATCCCAGTAGACATTTAAGTTTGTGGTAGCCTTCAGAGATTCTGTTGTGAATAGAAACCTTTCACCTGTTCATACTCTCAAGAGAGGCATCTTTTCTCTCCTCTGAGGCAAGGAAACAGAGACCTGCACAGACAGCAGCTTGGTGAGGGTATCTGTTCTGTTGCGTGACTTCTGCTGGGGAGGAGACCACCCTCTTTTTTTTTGAGTGTCACAGAACACAGCTTGATTTCTGTGAGCTGGGGCCAAAGTTTTCTTTTTTACTTTTTTTTTTTCTCTCCCTGCTCCCCTCCTTCCTTCCCCCCACATGGTGTCTGCTTTCAAGATTGCTTCAATAGCCAGCATTGTAACATACAGAGATGGATTTCCACAAAATTAATTTCAGGGCTTGGATAGGAACTGATTATGAATCTTTGTAGTCCTACAGATGAAGTCATTAAGAAAGAACTCAGAGTGGAATGCAGCCAAGGTCCTTAGCTAGAGCATGGCAGTGATTGCACAACAGAATATGGGAAGAGTAAGAAAAATGACAGTACATAATCATTTCATACCATTCATTAGTTTCTCCAAACAATGAAGAACACAGTGGCACATGTTAAATCAAAAAAGGCCTCTACAAAAAGTAGCAAAACCACATGTGTGATCCAGCAGGATTTTGAGGTGAAAGATATTTGGACAACAACCTTAATTGTCACAAATCTATTTTAAATAATCCATAATATCACAGTGATTTCAATGTCATTTTAGAGAACCATTTCAAGTTCTTCATATATAGTAATGTAACACAGTAAACAGAATTATAGTAATTGCAACAGTGCAACAGTGGACAGGAACAACTTATGAAGATAAATACTTCATTATATTAAAAAATAAGTTGATAATTTTCCCTCATATTTTTACTAGAAATTTTTTTCTTGACTTGTTTTTTCTCTTGAAAGAAAGGGAAATAGCAGTAGAAAAAGGAGTGTGGTAAATTCCTTAACTAAACTAAGTTTTGCATCATGCACAGTTTATTATGGTTTTCAGTTAAGAACGTTACCCATAGTATTCCCATTAACATCATTTATGCCATCACAACTGTTACAAGATTAAGTTTGTTCTAAAGACCTGCAGTTTATTTTTGAAATCATTGTTTACCCTTCAGAAAAAGCATTTATCAGTTACAAAAGAAACCCCACAAACAAACATGTCTAGGTTTTTAACCCCAAGTACTTTCAGCTGAATGTAAAATATAGAAACTATTGGACAAGACATATGTTCAGGATGGATTAATTTATTCCCTTTTTTGCAATTCAGCTGTCCAGTGTGTGAGACTGCCACTTGGAATCTGGAAAAGAAAGGCTCAGTTTCCTCCTCTATTTGATCTATACCAGGGATTTCCAACTTCCCCGGAGAGGAATCTTCAACACTGAAAATGGGATGTCTTGAAGGATTCATGATCTGCAATTCCTGCAGCCCTGAGGATAACTAGTTCAGACATAAAAATTATCTGATAAACAGCTGAGACAATTCTCCCTTTGAAGCTGGTTCCATCTACAGATGAATGTGCTGTTGGAAGAAGTACTTTTCCTTCTTTTCCGCTAGTGCTGTGTCCCTCTGCCCCGCGTTCTGCCTGTGTGACCCACGTAGGTGACTGTCATCCCTCTCTGGGATATTTAACAGTTTTGTATAAAGTCAAGCTGCTTCAAAAATAATACTGGGAGAGCATCAGGCATTATTTCATAGAGTCATAGAGTGTAAAGGGGTTGGAAAGGACCTTAGAGATCAACTAGTCCCAAGTGCCTGACACAGGCAAGGACAGCTCCCTCTAGACCAGGTTGCTCAAGGCCTTATCCAGCCTGGATTTCATGATCCATTTCTTTGCATTACCCATTTCTCATGAAAGAGACTTCTCTTGTGGGTTACAGTCACACATCCCAGTGGAGTGTTGCCCAGAGAAATTATTTTTTCTCAAAACCAAATAGAGATATTGTAACAGACTTATACTGAAGTAATCAGACTAAGTTGGAGCAGCTTTATGCTGGCTTCCTGGCCTGGCTTCAAGGCATGTCCTTTTGCTCAGGTGTCTGTGAATTACAGTCCCTATCAGAGTTGCTGAAATGGCCTTAGAGAACTCAGATAGAAATGGATTTGGTTCTTGACACAGCAATGATAGTGGTGTCATATTCATGTGAACTGTAGGCCTCTGAGATCTGGATTTCGGTGTTAATTTTCCTATGCTCTATTTATATTCAGTGAGGAGAAATAGAAATTTTTTGTGGCCTAATTTATCTCATCTATATTTCAAATGCATTTCAGATGGATTGCTAAGATATTCATTTTCTGACCAGTTACTGTAAAGAGAGCATCTGTTCAGCAGGACATGCTTATACTGTATTTAGGTGAGAAGAATCTCACCTTAGTTGTCTGTCACTTGCTTCACACTTCTTGCATACCAAGAACACATCATTATACTGGTCCTGAGTGTCTGAATGCTCCAAGCAGAATTCACTGATGCACTGGGGATTGAATAGCACAGTGGAATTTTGTAGATGTGAAAGAGTTAAAATGACATTATGAGGTTGATATTATGAGCTGATAAAGCAAAAAAAAAGAGCAGAATTGCATAGAGAGAAAAGGTTCATATGTGCTGACATGCCTGTCCTGGCACAGTTTAGCTTAATCCACCCTACTTGCTTTTTTCACCCTATTCTTCAATCCTCCCTTCTAGAAACAGATTTAGGTATCCCTTTATCTCTGTGAGACTGTACTTGAGTTACCTTCACTAGTAACTTATTCCATATGTCTCCTTCTCTGAGAGTGAAGCAACCCTGCCCAAGCCCCTGTTTGCTCATTCTTACCTAATATTTCAATTTAGTCCCTTAGTTTTCCCCTTTAAGTAGTAATAACAAAAGCCCACCCGTTGAGGTTGCTTTATATTTTCACTCCCTTTCTTAATACTGAAAGTTTCAACTACACCATCTCCCAGATTTTCTTGCCCATGGAGAACAGCATCAGCTCTCACAGATTTTCTTTGGTTTACAATACACATATATATGTGTAAAATAATCAAAACAGTTAAGAATAAAAATTTAACATTTCCTCTTTCTATTTTTTTTTCTTTATCACATGGCAAGAACTTGGTCCTGAAAAACAGTTTTTAATCAGGTGGCTAATCAAATTAATCCAGTATAGCAGACAACATCTAAGAGTTTCTACATGTCTCCAAGTCATGCCACCAGGAATGGGTGGAGCAATATACTATAAGCAGTACCAGCAGGAAGGAGAAAGAAAAGTTCTGAAAAGCTCTGTCATTTCTTCTTGGAAGGAAAATGTGTTTTAAACATTTTTCCTTTAGTGCCGGTGTTAATGGTAAAAAATCAGATTTTCTTATCTAGAGAAATATAGCGAAATAATAAAGCACTGAGATGCCAGAGTAAGCCTTTTTTTTTCTTATACAAAGAAAATATAATTGTTTTCATATACCTTCAAAGAGGATTAAAGTTGAAGAGATAAAGATGGAAAAATGGAGAGGAAAAAGACAGTTTTTACTGTCTGATTCTCTTCTGTCTTACACTGAGCTCTGGTTTACACTGGCAACTCTCCAGTGGCTTGCTGCTGATTTATACCTTCATTTGTGAACTTCAAGCTCTGAGAACAGGCTGCTGTTATATTTAATACACTAGACACAGATTAAAACAATTTGACTTTAATTCCTGGTGTTGCCAAACTGTCCTATAAAAGAGCCTAAGAAAGATGTTTCCGAAAGCAGATCCGTGATCTGGGAGCTTCCTAACCATTTTGCTAAGCTGCTTAGGTACTCTGTCTGATCAGTTTTCCTTGAAAAGGAACTCTTGGCTGTATTCATGAAGAGATTTATAGGTCTGCATTTTTAGATACAAAAATGAAAATTGAATTTTTCATGGACCAGCTTTTCAAATGCTCCTAAATCTGTAAGTACTCTAAGTCCATTTCTTTCTTTTTAGCGTGGTATTTTACAATCATCTTCAGGTCTCCCCAAGAATTTGCCTCAACTTCATCTGTCCTCTCATCTCTCTTGCATTCAAGTGCACACACAGAAATCTCCTGCCCAATCCACTTGGTGTTCTTCAATGTACTTGGAATAAGAGATTTTGCAAGAAGTATTGATGAAGATTTTGCATTCCCAGGTTCTGCTATTAATACATAGCCCTGGGGTTAGGACTTAGGAAAGTAGAAAAGCTGCCTTTCTTAGCTATAAGGAATTTGAACTTAACTCGCCCCATGCTTTTTTTAGTTGAAACTGCTCCACTTTATGCAGAATAATTAAACATTAACTGGGCCCAACACAGTGACCTGGTTTTCTTCTAGCTCTTGCTATACAAACTAGTTAACATAAACCAGGGAATTATTAACTAGAAAAAGAAATAGAACCCGCAACTATTTTTGTTCAAGTGACCTCTATAACTGTTTAAAAAAAAAATTAAAAAGTTTTCTTTTGTTTTGACCTAATCTGTACTTTAATATTCCATGCAAAATACAACTGCATCTACAGGAGAGAAAGACATCTTGTAATATCTGGGTCCCATCAATTATTCTTCTAGAGTAATAAAATGGGTTTGGATTACTATAGAATAGTAAAAGAGACTGAATGTGAAAGAATAGATTAATTATTAATTTATGAAGAAAAAAACCCCTAACTCTCAGAGTCACACATTAAGTAGGGGGTGGGGAGAGTGCTCTACAATCCTACAAACTCTTCTGTGGCTGTACTTTGAAAGACAAAATGGGAATAAGACCCAGATCCTCCAAGAAAAATTTGATGCTTTTCATTCCCAAGCAGAAGACCTTAGAGACCAGGGTAAGACTGTAATGTCTTAGAAGAGTTTTATTATTTCCTATGGGCCATAATTAGTAGCCACAAACTAGGGGATTCAGATAATAGGAAATATTAAGGGTGTTTTAGTACTAGAGGTGGTATATTTTACATGTATGACCTCCCAGTGGAATTCACAGCCTCTGAAACAGTAACATCAGCTTCCCACACAATGAGGAGCAAAAAGTAAGCACCTGACAACAGAAATCAGGAAAGCCAGAACTGTGAGTGAAAAAGTGCCTATAGTCAAGATGGAAACCCTTAGGAGAAGATAAGGATTACTTAAGTAGTAAATCCTTCCATTCAAAAAGAAAACAAACCACTTTCCCTTCATAAGAAATAACTCAGAACACTGAGTGCTCTGACATTAGATTAGATAGCTCAAATTCAAATCTGACTTAAGGGATTTGAACCTACAAAACATACCTTCACTGTCTAAATCTTCAAACAATGAAACTCACTGAGGTGTAGCTCTTGTTGAAACTTGACTAAAAATAACATCTGAGAGAAAGGAGAAAAAGCAGGTGACTGCTGCACTTTCTTGAGAGACAGGTTTAATTCTCTAATTTAGTACATACTTGAGTACTTCACAAGAGGTGAAAATATTTCAGAAAAAATCTGATAATTACCTGAGATGGTATTTAGGCCAAGGGGTAGGACATCTCTCAGAGGTGAAAGTGGACTGGAAGCCTTGTGCAGCACTTTGTGACGAGGTGCAAATTGTCCCCTTGCCCTGCCTGAGCCAGGCATTCATCAGAGCAATGCAGGGGTGTCAGGGAGCACCCCCACACCCCAAGGCACCCACCCTTAGGAACTAAAGGCCTGATGTAGAGGGGAATGAATCGCCTTCAGGAGTTACTTTTCCACTTCACTGTGGAGAAACCAGGGACATGGAGTTGAGGGATTCTGTGACTCTGAGTGTCCTAGAAAATGTCTTCCTTAAGTTCTCTGCATCTTATAAAATAAGGATGATGCTTTGTCCTAATTTTGTCTCTTCCAGTTTAAGTCATTTCTACCGTGTACTACCCAGCAGTAGTCTTGTGGCATTTCCCAAGCTTGAGGCATGTGAAAATTGTTTGTTATTGTAATAAAAATAATAACAATAGGATCATCTTGAATCAGTGCTTCTCTCCATTTCTGACTGATTTAGGCTGCCTGTGAGGTCTAAACCATATAATTAACAAATTTTCTATCAGAGCTTTTACCTATTCTGGCAACAGCTATTAAAATGTGATTATATGCTGCAAGCAGGTTCTGTTATAAAGCAGCTCTATAATGTTTTATAGAAAAAAATCTTAGTTTATTTTTGTGATTTCATTGTACTGTGATTTATATTTAACACCTCTGTTTTCCATTGTCAGCAAGAGCCAGTATTTCCAAGTGTTCATTTTACTGATCAGAATTTTATGAACAGTACAGAAAGCTCACAACAAGCTGGTATTCATTACTAGAAGTATAGAATTTTAAGATTAAATTTATAATTTAATAACTCACTGATATTTTCACCAGGAATGTGTTCACTGTTGGATACCCAGCTGTTTTTTTTAAATTTAGGCCAGCCATCAGAAATTAATGCTTGCTTCTTCTGAACTTAATCTGATTTATAAACTACAGAGGATAGACACACACAAATGTCCACACTCTATCATCTTACACAAAGTGCAAATGATATGTGACATGACACTGCAGAGCCTGTTGCTTTAAATCAATACTGTCAAACAATATTGAAGTACGAGTTTAAAGCAATGGCTTACAGGAATTCCAGTAACACACACAATGTTTTGTTTCTTCTGCTTATGAACTCACTGTTTCAAGCCTTTCCCAGTGATGGAGAAGAATAACAAGGATGTTCCATACCACTGAATGAAGTCATTGACAGCAGTGTTTTCTTGCTGACATGATACATTTGCTTTATATAATACAATACTTCATCCTCCAGGATACACATGCTCATACCTGCATACATAAATATAACAAACATACACATGTATTCTACTTTTGAACTTGTTAAACAGCTCTATACAGTGAAACAGTCCTATAAATATACACCTTTTATTGAGAATAAGTATACATAACTGTGCTGAACCAAATAGAGCTATATCAGGTGAGACTAAATAAAAATTTGGCCCAATATCAAATGACACTAAATAAAAGTTTGGCCCAACCTACACAATTAGACCTACAACCTGTTTATACTTACACAATGTAGTAGCCTTTTTTATTGTGTCAGCAGCTAGGTTTCAACTCATGTAAATAATCACTAGTTGTACCAATGCCATGATGAAAATCTTGGTGTTGAATACTGTTTAATTCTTGTAAACCTGAGGTGACAAAAAGCAATAACTACTCCTATTTCCCTTTAAATGAATTTTCTTAGTAATGAAGTAGGATGGATTGAATCAGTGTTCAAGTAATGGAAGTGAAAAGTATCAATAGAATAATCAGTGTAGGAACAGCTGGGTTTTTAAGCACATTTATTAAATTGCTGAGGAGATTCGTGTAACTCTATAAAAGGCAAAACAAAATTTTCTTTTCATATTGTATTAAAAAAGTCATTTGCTGAAGGAAAAAAATCTATAACATATATATAATATATAACATATATTTATGAAATAAACACCTGTTTTGTATTGAGATTTTAGAATATAATTTAGAAACCAAATAAAATTTTTGAGAAAAATGAAAAGTTGACGTGTAAAAAAAAAAATACTCCCACCATTGTCTTCCTTTCATTCTCAAATACATTCATTTTTGAGGCTAGGAACAATTCTCTTTTCTTTTTTTTTTGTCTGACAAAATAATTTATTGCAAGGATTTATTCTATTCAGCTGCTGATATCTTTAAAATTGTTTTATTTTTCTACAGTCTTTAGCTTTAAGAATTTCATGAGACATCTCATTTAACATATAAGAAAACAGTATTTTCAATGGTTTCCCTAAAATAAATTCCCTAGCTGCTAATCTGAATTGAAATTCATCAATGTTTTTGATTTGACAGAAATTCAGAGAGGGTTTTATTCCAGGCTGAGTGAAGAACCACTTACTGGCAGAGCCACTGGCCAGTGACCTGGGCACAGGTCAATTTCATTTGAGGATCAATTAGCTTCAATTTACACGATTAAGATCCTTGGCATTTGGCCCAGCAATGACATTAAGGCTTGTGAGCTAGGAGGGCGAGGCTCAGTAATTGCAATCGTTAATGACCTATCTGGAGAAGGCTTTAAGCTCCAAGAGGATCAGGATTTGGTGTTCACGGGTGCTCTTGGGGGACCAGCAGAGGACCTTGTCAGCAGGTCTGTATTTATCAGGGTGGCTCACTGGAGCTGAAAGCAGTGCTAAACTCACATTACACACAGGTGTGAATAACTACTGAGGAGGAATGTGGGCCAGTGAGCTTCAAGTTGTATTTCTCTCACTCTCAAGTTGGAATCCTCAAACATATGTTTCCCAGCCAGGACTGTACTCTTTCAGAACTTTAGACTCAACATGTTTCCACTAATTCCAGTCAATGTGTTTCAGACTTTTCCTTCATTTGTCTGGAAAGCATCCAATACATGACATGATTTCTCTTTCCTCTCTATCAGTTATTCTTATGCTAAGTGGAGATATGAAAAGCACAGAAATGTTCCCAATATCACTTATTCATTTGCACAGTCTTCTACCCTCCCACACTGCCTGCTGTGCTCAAAATCCCTTGTCTTCTGTTACATACTTAGTTAAATAGGTTTCCTTTAATCTTAAACTATTTCAAATGTAAATCTTGAAGGGCATGATATTGCACCCATTGAAGTCTTTCCAATGTGTAGAGATGGCCCAGCTATAAAGAAATATCACCAAGGGAGCTCTGATGCAGTGGGGAAGATGAAGGCATCGAACTAAAGGCTGAATAATGACAGTATTTCATGAGTGACTGTGTTCAAATGTAGATGGCAATGTTGTACTTTTTCTGCCACTGGTGGATCTCAGAAAGTCAGCCCTTATGAGACCAGAAACTTGCCTTTCCCTTCATGTCCTTTTTTTGTCAGAATAATCAAGAATGAAATTATTTTTTAAATTTTCAGGGGGCCATAAACAATACACTGTGGGTCTCATGCCTTAATTGTCCTCACAAAGCTTTCTGTGAAGATTCCTCATTTCCTTACACCTGGTACTATGGGACTCTGTGGTTTGTGCTCTGCTCACAGAAATTATAAACATGGAGAGTAAATGAATGGGGCTGTGTGATCAAGAGATCCATCCCTGTAAACATTTACTGACATATTATAACAAGACTGTTGTAAACAAAAATTCATGGAAATCCCCAAACCTTAGAGATACCACTGGTTGCTGCTACCATTATTGTTGAGGAGTGACTTTGAACTGAAAGAGAGCAGGTTCAGGTTGGATATTAGGGTGGTGAGGGACTAGAACAGGTTGTCCAGGTAAGCTGTGGATGTCCCATCCCTGAAAGTGTTCAGGGTGGGTACAATGGGGTTTTGAAAAACCTGGTTTAGCATGGCAGGTGCTTGGAACTAGGTGAATTTAGTCCCTTCCTACCCAACCTTAAGAGAAAGTAGTGTGTGTAATGAAAAATGGTATTTTCTGAAGAACAGACACTGCTACTCACAGCTTGAAAAATGTAGTTTTCTACATTTCTAATCCTTTCAGTAATTAATGCCACATAAGAGAATTACATGGTAATAGTAAATATTTCCAATATTTAATTCGGTTTTAATTTTGAATCTTGTGAAACATTTTCACATATTTTCCAAGCTAAAATGTTAAATGCCTGAAGGAAACACTTGGTTGTATTATGTAACTGGTAATCCATAGATATGTTTCACAAGAATTGTAAGCAACAGGAATTATTAATATCCTTTTCTGTTCTTTACCTAGCATAACTCCAGAGTGAAAAGCAAGATTTTGAACCACTGATTCATGGTTGATGGATTTGCTCTATAAATTTTGTTATGTTACGGTGGATTTGGAAATGGAAACCTTGCAAGCGAGATAATTTCATATTGCTGTTGTTATTCTCATATACCTCTTTCCCACAGCTTTGATGGTGTTGTTTTCAGCTAATGGCATGCAATAAATATTTTGTGAAACATAGAACATTTCTGTGGTTTTATTAAGGGATATTTTAAAAATATACAGCTCCACAGCATTTCCTGAAGGATTTAACCTTGATTCTCTTTAATGAGCAAGTAATGCTTATCACAAACCTGAAATGTGTTACTGTAAATTTTCCAGTGGTTATAAAACACCTTTTTTTCCAGACACTTGCTTTAAAGCACTATTTGAAAGAAAAAAAAACCCTATGTCCTGGAACCTATATTTGCTAATGGAAAACTGAAAGCCAGCATTTTTTACCTTAATACCAAAACTGGTATTTAAAAAAAAAAAATTCTGAACAGAACCAAACTTGAGAATTCATTTCATATAACCAAGTAATTCTAAAAAAATTAACTATTCAAAAATATATTTTAGATTAAAAAAAGAAACATGCAAGTTCTTGTTTGTGATATAGCAAGTTAATTCCTCTAATCATAGAATGTAGAGATGAATTGTAGAGTTATTTTAGGCCAGAAGGAACCTCTAGAGTTATCTGATCCAACTCCTTTCTCAAGAAAGGTTTAGTTAAAGTAGATGCTCAGGACCTTGACCACTTAAATGTTTAATACCTTGAAATAGAGTCTGTGCATCAGCCTGTTAGGTATTTTTAGATTTATTTTCTTAAGATTGAATGATTCAATTCCCTCCTTAGAGGTCACATTTCATTATTATTTTTGTTTTTCTGATATAGTCTCAAAAATAATGAGAAGTATAAACTGTGCTTGTACAAGCTGTAGTATAAGAGGAAGCAAACAGGAACTTCATCATCTGTAATTTACACCTAATTAAATTATCTTCATTTCTAGGATCAACTCAGCTTATATAAAGACAGCCTGTATAAGATGATACAAAATTCATGTTGCTTGGGGCTCTATGTAACTACACCCATAAGTCTCCAACAACTCTGGCTTTGATACCTCTTGGAAAAAAAAATAAAACTGTGATAGAAGATCAGCAATGGAGGAAAAAATCCTAAAAATAACCCACAACAACAAATTTGCAAAATCAAAGCATAGCTATAAGTAAAGCTTTGAAGTAAACCTCAACCATTGTGGCATTTCAAAAGCAGGTGAGAAAAGTATGTTGCACATATCAAGAGTGTAAATTTCCAGTTAAGAAATACAATTCTCAGCCAGGAATTCCTATTGCTGAACTAATACTACAGTGAAAGGTTGGTATCAGCAGAAGCCTGAGTTGTGTTGCTGTCCTCTGCTGTGGGTGTTCCCATACGAAGTTGCTGTAAAACATGATGCTTTTTGCTGTGCTGTGCATAAGGCTTTTTCAGACCAAGGTGAGACTTGTAAATTTATTTTCATATTTTTCTTTATTTTCTGCAGAAGTAAATCTGTCACTGTCAACACAACCATAATCTCAATGATTACTTGCTATTTCATGTTCTTCTGTTAACTATGAAGCAACACCCACAAAGTGGGAGATTATTCAAACCACAAAGCTGTTATGATTAGTTATTGAAAACAGAATTGTTTTAATAAGACATCTTTATCTGAGTATTTTTGTAGTGCCATAAGAATAGAAACAAATACATTGTAGACAACTAAATGATAATTTTTCTATTTAAATTGGAATTTTCACAGTGAATTTGCATCATGAAATGATCTGAATGTTTTAAACAATAAATATAATTTTATTGGAATATGCTTCAGGATTCTTGAGTTAATGAGACTATAAGGAAAAGGCACATCATGTGCAAATTAAAGGATTTTTAAAAAGGAATTTGGGAAAGACCTGTTACAAAGAGGTAAAATGTCAGCAAAATCAATGCAGATAAATTAACTTACAGCAGTAGAAAATCTGGTCAGAATTTTTTCCTATAGGAATTCCAGTAACTTTGTAAAGATCAAATTACTCTGTTCTCCTAGAATTATGTGGAAAATGATGTGACATCTAGAAAAATTTCTTGGAGAGATTTTCTGTATTTTCTGGGTTTGGATAGGCTGTGAAGCTCATAAAACCCCTCCCTCTGAGCCAAATGTGGTAAATCCAGAAATACAAACATATAGCTGATATTCATTTTCTTCATTCTCAATGAAAAAGTTTTCGCTCAATTGACTCTGAGTTCTGATTCATTTCATTATACTAAAAGTGTCATCTGTCCATCTGCCCCACACAGATTCTTCAAATGTATATTGTAATTTATGTATTTGAAGAAAAGATTGAAGAAGTTCAGGTTTAGCAAATAATTCAATCACTCAAAAACTTGCCTGTGATCACAAGAGTTAAGATATCTCATTAACTTGGACCCCAGTTTAAAGACCTTGACTGAAATTGTCAGCTTGCTAAAGGCAGTGGGATTTCTGCCATTGTTTTCTATAGCTTTGAGATTTCATCCATCCTTCAAATATGTCTTGTAAAATATTCCATCAGAAACTATTTTTATTGGATTGAAATTCTCACTTCTTTATCAGGATATGATCATTGTTACCTTTTGCTTGGGGTTTAGACTGTCTTTGGAATAAATGTTTAGAATTACCTTCCATTGCTCCTCATAGGTGACATGACTGATTTTTGCTCTGGCTGCTCTCCATGCATTAAACTAATTGAGCTGCAATAGAACAATAGGAAATAAAGCCCAGTATTTTCCAAGAACCCAATGAAAGCCTATTTAACCTTCCTTGAAGTCAATAGCAATTGTACACTTAATTCCTTTAGGCTTTTTTTATTATTTCATGCCTCCAGCTAATAAAAAAGTAAAGTTTTTTGGCCTCCTTTATAAAAAAAATATTCTATACATCCCAGTGTAGCTACTATTGCAAAGGAGCTGTTCCCCTCCCATTTTTTAAGTTCTTTAATTTTATCCACATGCCTCTCACCAGTGTCTGTGCCCAGACGGAGAAGTGAGATATGTGTCCAAATGTATTTCTAGGAACAGACTGCAGAGCCTATCAGGCTTTAAAACTTGATTGCCCATCAGCTGTTCTCTGTAATTGTTTGCTTATTTTTTTGACTTTAACAGAATACAAAGCATCTCAAAGCTGAGGCTACAACGTGTACATTTTAACTCTTTCTCTACTCTTATTTCACATTACCTTTACCAGTCATTACTTAGCATCTGCAAGGCAGGATCTTAGCCCTGAATTTCTGCAACTGGGAATTCCCCCAGGTGCTCTAAATTCAGCAGTGCTTACACACATGAAAAGGTTACCACAACATGGTAACATCAGGGCCCTGCAGTTTGTCAGGGCTTTTCCGTTCTGCTCCTGATTGTATCTCTGTGTTGATATAGCAACTTGCTCTTCACCACAGATGGCTGGGAGAAAACCCTCCCGTGGAGCAGCTTTTCATCAAAAAACACTGTTCCACCAAAATAAGAATGTTCTGTGAAATTGCTTCTCTCCTGAATTTATTTTGTTCAAAGGGAAAAACAGGGAAGGATGCACCAAAGAAGGGGCAGGCCTGGAATCTGCTGCTCCTTGTATTAATATTTTTTTTTTTTTTTTTGAACAATGGCAACTTACTCTTGGGTGTAAAATTGCTATCAGCTTCAGGAATGCTGAAGCTCTCTCCTCTTAGCCAAGAGATGTAGAAACAAAGTGTTGGAAGAGGCTCATGGTTCCTCTGGCCCAAGGATCTTTTTGTCTGTGGCAGTGGCTGCAGTGCTCTGGCTTCAGCAAAATCATACAGAGGACATGGGCTCCACTGAGTGCTTTGGGCACCTGCTTGAGAAAAATTAACTGTAATTTTGGGTAACTTGAAGTGCATTTTTACAGTCTGAGTCTTGGTCCTTCAGAAATTTTAAGAATTTTTTCTTACAAGCACATGCAGTCATGTTTCAGATACTTCATTTAGACAAGTATGAAACTGAAGAAAAACATTCTGCAAGACTAAAATGTTATTTAGTGGAAAAACATTTTAGGAAGTGACCAATCCATTGGTTGAATCTTTTTTGTTTCAGGTCATTTGTTTCATTATTTGAAAATAATGTCATTTTTTCTTCCATCTAGTGTGTCCAATATACATAGAAAAATGTTTTTCACTGTAATCTATTAATCCGTGACTGTCATGAACTTTAGAATAAAAAGAATTGTTTATGTGTAATTTTCTATGGTGCCATTTTTTCTAATTGGAACATTGTTGTATTGTTAGGAAAAAAAAGTCTAGGTAAAACAAACATGGGAAACTCAAAGCAGATAATTACCCAGAGATCACTAAATAGAAATGTTATGCACCTCCAGTACTAAATTACTGACAGTATGTGTTTAACAGAAATTTGAAAAACATGTTTGTATTTGTGCTTATACTGATCCATGAACTGCAGTCAGCTGGCTGAATGTCCTGGGATAATACTGATGTCCTGTACATTTTTGGCATGAAAGAATCTCATTTGTAGTGACTTGAAATTGAATCAAGCATGTCAAAGGGAAGTAGAGTGCCTGTATCATGTTTCCCAAAGCTTGAGAGCAGGCAACATTCTCTTTTCAAGCTTAGTTGATGTAGTACTCCACTAAATGCCTCCTGGCCATTGAAAATATCTTCCCAAATATGTACACTTTTATTCTTATAAAAGAGTAAGAGCAAGAGCAGACACTGATAGCAAATACTTTTAAAGGACCTAAGAAATAAAATTCTTAGTGTATAAATTCTGAAGAAAAATGGTGTATAGACAGTGGGTTTTGCCTTAAATTTCTGTTATTGCTTGGTCTTTTTAAAGGGAAATAAAAAAGGCAGGGACACACACTGTCCCAAAACAAAAACAAACCACAAAAAAGAGTAAAAAGCTGATGTTGTCCATGATGATCAGATGTTACTGATTATCCTGCCCTCTCAAGATCCAGGAAAAAAGGAGGAATCAGATCTTGTCTTCACAGCCATTGTTTCCATCCACCAATCCATGACAATTCAAGTATTTTTAGCTCCACAGGTTTTCTGTCAAGCCCTGAGATATCAATGTGTGTCTCTGCATAGACAAGGAGGGACAGCTTTGACAAATCAAAGTTTGATCATGCCTTTCTCTAGGGGAAAATTCTGCTATGAAG